CAAAAATGAGCAAAAAACCCAGCCCATTTTTTGCAAAAATTGTCCCATTTTTTGCAACTCCCCCCCAAAAACGACATGATAATGCTTTGGGTGGCTTGCAGAGTGCTCCAGGAAGGAGGGACAAATATGAGCAAAAAAGGGCCCATTTTTCAGAAAAACAGCTCTGGGTTTTTTTTTTTTTTGTTGTTGTTGCAAAAAACGGCATACATAGGCTTTGGGAGGCTTGTCCATATTTTGCTTGTTTTGCCATCCCCACCCCCCAAGAGCACTTTGCAGGCCTCCCAAGCCTCTGTTTGTCTATTTTTGTGAAGGGGGCAGAGTTTCGGGAGGCCAAAAATGCTGCATTCTGTGTATAAGGCGCACCCAGAATTTCACACTCTTTTTTTGGGGGGAAAAGGTGCGTCATACTCCAAAAAATATGGTACTTGAGGGGTGTACACTCTTCTGTGATATACTGTACATATTTAATGCCTTAAAATAGGTAGTGATGGCGTGGGGTAGGATAGAGCAGTATTTTTCAATCTTAGCAACTTTTCAGATGGGTAGACTTCCAATACTAGCATGCTGGGAGAATTCTGGGAGTTGGAAATCCATACATATTGCCAAAATTGACACTGGGATAGAGCATTCAAAACGTAAGCAGCAATTCTGCTGAAGATCACGGTATTACTCAAATCTTTAAGAGGAATTTTGGTGTTTACTAAACTAGGCAATATAAGGTCAAGAACAAAAGTTTGGACTTGAGTTAAACAAGCGTAAATCGAAGGAGATACCTCATTCAACATCTAAATTGTGTCTGCTCTGGAATAGCTACAACTTTCAGGCTAATTAGGAGAGTGGCTAAAATGAAATTAATTTTAATTGTAAGAAATTTTCCTCACTTGTAAAGTGATTATTCAAACATTAAATAAATTATGACTTTGGATATTTACATTAGCATACCTTTCTGCGCTGTTTGGAATATATAGGTAATTTCACTTACTGGCCATTCAGCAACTGTTTCAATAGCGCTGGAAAAAGGATTGCAGCTGTCACAATGTCTTTGAGATCACAGGATAACAGTTTAGGCATGTTGCCACCAGCATATTTTTACAATGATTACGGCTGTCAAACTTGCGGCCCACAAGGCTGGATGCGTCACGCTCTGGCCACACCCACGCCCGGTTTAGCGAAGGAAAAAAGGTCATGATACGTCACATGATGCTGTGATGACACAAGTTTGACAACCCTGTATTACAGCATCCCTCAGTCATTTCCGTTTGGATACCTTCATAGCTGGTTTCCAAGAAGTAAAGTCAATGGGGAAGCCACCAGGAACTTGGAAGTCATGTTATGTGATGTCACAGTTAATGACTACGGTGATTGTCAGAGTTTGTTGCAGAAATCAAATACAAAAAGCACACACTGATTCAGCAGGATTCATTAACTTCTCTCTATATATAATATAATACATGAAGTAAATATACAATACCGACAGCTGGTTCACAGGCAGAGGAGAGAACAGTTTCAGTTTCAATTCAGAAGACAGACCAGTTTAGTTCTCAGCACAGACTTGCAGCTTTTAGTACAGAAAAGCAGTTGGACTAAGCCACGCCCAGGCACCTAGCCGTCTGGCATGGCTTTCAGTCACCAAATAGTTCCCATTGGCTGACCCAGTTGCCATGCCTATACATCGGCTGACCATGTCCTATTCCAGCCAATCCCCAATGGCTGACCTGTTACTATGCCCTATTCCAGTTAATGAATATTCTGACAGTGATACATTCTTAACTACATCTGGAACTGAGGTCATATGATGTTTTACTTTAAGATAGCCTTTCTTAGCAAGAAATGAAGTTGCTGGTCCCAATTGCAGCCAGTGAGGACAGTTTGTATGTTGACCAGTTTGTGTGTGTGTGTGTGTGTGTGTGTGTGTGTGTGTGTGTGTGTTAGTCACTAAATGTTATCATTGAGGAAGTTTTTTTGAAAAGATCACTGCTACTTGAGAGAGAATTGGCAGATATTCTCATGAGTGAGCCCTTAAAATAGTTGATGTATATTGTGATGACATACTTAACGTTTATTTTCTGGTATATATAGTTTTGCAATTTAATGTGACTTCTAGCCTGTTGATAAATCTGTAGCTAAAACAGCAATGTGTTTTGTTGTTTTTTTTCCTTTGAACAGGTGGGTCCCCTGTTGAATATGATGATCAAAGGACGGTATGATTAATCGCGGACTTCCGCAGGATATTGGCGCTATTTCACCTAAATGGGGAAGATATTAAGCGCTAATATTGCACGCGGCACTTAAAAACAGATGGATTCCCGGTCCAGCTCTGATACACTCCACCCATCAAGGGGAATGCCTAGAACTCTGAAATGTTCCACTCGTCACTTCTTCAACTTCACCAAACTTTATTGAATAATTCATCCTTACTAAGGAAGAACCCGTCATCAGTCACTCCATGATCTCCGTCTGCCTAGATGCAACCATTGGCACCTGGTACTTGGCGATATTTATTTGTGAATAGCACCTTTGTGATTGCCTACATAAGAGTTACCTAGAGGAACAATTTTGATTTCCTTTTCTCTATTTTCATGTTAGGAATCAACATGGATGACTTCCAACTTTAAATCAACTCATATCAGTGGTGGGATTCTAATTTTTTTTTACAATCGGTTCTGTGGGCGTGGCGTGGCTTGGTAGGCATGGCAGCAGAAGGATGCTGCAAAATCCCAATTCCCTCCCCACTCCAGGGCAAGGATACTGTAAAATCCCCATTCCTTCCCCACCTCACAGGGCAACAGAAGAAGCCCCAGCTGATCAGCTGGGACTCAGGAGGCAGCGAATAGATGGGGGCAGGGCCAGTTAGAAGTGGTATTTGCCAGTTCTTTGAATTACTCGAAATTTTCGCTACCAGTTCTCCAGAACCAGTCAGAACTGGCTGAATACCACCTCTGACTCATATCTATAATTAGCATATTTCTTTAAAGGCAACCTTCTCTTTGATATTGCAACTTCTTAAACTAAAGCCCGTTGAAAACTAAGGACAAAAGAGATGGAGACTTTAAGAGTTTTCAAATCCATTGTGTCATTTTTGTCATCAACAATACATTGATTTCTAATTCTATAAAACCAGGCCAAATGGGGCTATGTATAGAAATTGACTTTCCCCCCACACTCAGGATGTTAATAGAATGGGACAAGCCATAGCGAATGCCCTTAGTCAATAAAATCTGTGTGTCATATTTTCAATTTAACCATGCATGGTTATGCTTCCTCATTGCACTCTACCTTCTCTAGGCCAAATTAAGTGCCAGATCAGTTGGTGAAGAGAGAAGGACAGCCATTCTTTGTCAAATTTCCATTTTGCTCTTTCATATATCTGGAAAGAAATACACGTATGGGTTTTGTAATTGTATTTCATTAAGCTAGGAATGCAGATTTTAGAACAGTGTTGGCAAAAATTTTCTGCCCTGAGTGCCGAAACGGGGGCGCGTGTGTGTGCAGGCATGCTGGAAACTGGAAGAGCAGCTGCCCGGTGCACATGCATGTGTCAGAAAGATGATTTTCTGGTTTCCGGCACATGCATGCACACTGGGCCACCTGGTCTTCTGGTTTCTCTCATGCATGCGTGCATGAAGACCAACTGGCTGGTGCGCATGCGCGTGCTAGAAACCAGAAGATCATATTCTTGGTGTGCATGTACTGCTCTTCTGGTTTACGGAGGTGCCCCGCACATGAAGACCAGCTGGCCGGAACCCGGAAGAGCCAACAGGCGATGGCTCGCATGCCATTTCCGGCACGTGTGCCATAGGTTTGCCATCATGGTTTTAGAGTTTAACTCCTAGATAACCAAAGAAAAGTTTCTTCATTTGCTACGAAGTCACTTTTCTAAGAGAGTTTCTATGACCCTGGGTCA